CTGAGCTACTGTAGCTCAGTTGGTAGAGTCTCACTAAATGAAACCAATGTATCTCACACCAGAAAACTGTTTCCCAGTGTGCCTGATATAGATAATGATTTGTTCAGGGATTTATCCTGTGCTCCTGTGTTTTACCTCTCATCAGTACAGATGCAATATTCAAGTGACAGCTTGATGTTCCGGCACAGTTTTATCCATTCAATAGCTGCGTTTCCATTGAGCATCAAATTTCGAAATTTGAATTTGCGCATCATAAAATGTCTAATGGAAACGCGCAAATTTCGAATAAACCACAGTTTTTCGATAAAAAGTTAATGCGCTTAAAATCGGTGGTTTTTTGGACGTATCGAAATTAAGTTTTTCGCAAAACGGCAATGGAAACACTTATTTCGATATAGCGGAGGAAGTCGAGCTGAGCTTTATTCAGTGAGTTTTGGCTGCGCTTCGTGTGGAGACTTGGGAGATACGTGGGAGAGGCGGGGAAGAGACGGGGAAGAGACGGGGAGAGACGGGGGAGAGACGGGGGAGACGGGGGAGAGGCATGGGGGAGAGACGGGGGAGAGACGGGGAAGAGACGGGGGAGAGACGGGGGAGAGGCATGGGGGAGAGACGGGGGAGAGACGGGGAAGAGACGGGGGAGAGACGGGGGAGAGGCATGGGGGAGAGACGGGGGAGAGACGGGGAAGAGACGGGGGAGAGACGGGGGAGAGGCATGGGGGAGAGACGGGGGAGAGACGGGGAAGAGACGGGGGAGAGGCATGGGGGAGAGACGGGGGAGAGGCATGGGGGAGAGCCGGGGAAGAGACGGGGGAGAGGCATGGGGGAGAGACGGGGGAGACAGGCAAGACCCGTGTCTATGGTTCTGTGCGCGCGTCTATGGTCCGCGCTCGGTACATGACCACGCGCGTTCGCGGAGCTGTCAAAGCAGCCACAGTTTCTCCCGGGGTCAGAGAGGATGAGAGCCGCAGCAGAAGTCAAGACATTAATATATCTCACGTAAATCAAAGTGTTGTTTACTTCTGTTGCCATGTTGACGTACTAGAAACTAGTGAATAAACGCGCGAAAATAGTGTATACTTATTCGAATATGTCTTAATGGAAACGGCCGCTTTTGCGAATTACAGGTTTTTCGAATTTTGAAATGTATCGAAAAAGTTTTTGCGCATTATTCAATGGAAACGCAGCTAATAACAGAGCAAAATGAGATATTGTTGTTGCCTCCATGTTTAGTTTGACTAACGACAACAAAAGCTCTCGAACAGAACACACTCATAAATTAGCATTTCACAAGCGGAAAGGATCATCTTTGACAGAGGACATGAAGTCAGCACGAAGGCGGTGCTGTGAGTCTGTGACAGGAAGCACCAAAACACACGTTTTCTTAATAATAATAATATTAACACAATGTACTTATATAGCGTCTTTTTAAACGCTTTTTATTTAGCCTAAACGCTCTAAATGAACAAGATGAAGAGGAGGAAACTGTATTCTTCTTATTTGAATTTAACAAAATGAAAAAACTATATATTTTGACTGGAAGATGTTCCTAAATGTCGTTGAATATCCACGGCCATTTGTGACTTTTTTAATTCCTTATAAAAAACCTAATAAATAGTCTTACGTATTGGTTGGAGTGATCAAAAGTGAGCGCAGGTTTTCAGATACTGTATTACAAAAAAGCAGCGCAAATCCAACCTCCAGTATAATGTGTTGTTTCTGTTCAAAATTTATTTGCGTTTTACGGAATTGTACTTTTCTGTATTTCGGGAAGTTGCCAACACACCTCGATGGGAAAGATTCTATAGTTAAAGAGAAAATGTCCAAATGGTGTCCCAGATCATTATTTGATAGTGTTTTAGATAGACAAAGCTGCCATTTTATACTTATGTTTGAAAAGTCCGATCTACTCGGCCAATGTTCAGGTATAGGTTTTGTATATTGCAACACTTCAAGACAACATCATAGGAAAATAATAAATTAGACAATAATTGACGTGAACTGACAAAAGATGATGTCAACTTTGTGACTGTTTTTGTTGCACGTGATCAACCCTGATTTACTGAAAAGGTACATTTTTTCGTAAAATGGCATCCAAATCAATGTTAAACGCACAGGCTATTTGGTGTTTTTGTGAATGTCACATGAACAACAAGCGGGATCCTCAATCTGTTCATTAGCACACACCATCCCCCATAAAAGCAATGTTAAAAAATGACACATTTTCAACGATTTTAATAGAAAAAAAAAACTAAGAATCCAATTGAATTCCAATCTGCTATATACCTTTGAAAGATGGACTCCACTAAAATCTTGGTGTTTCGTTCCGGCAGAAGTAATTATTATGAAGCAAATATTCACATGTTGTGCTATTTCTTATTCAAATTTGTCATTTAATACTCACTGTTTATGTACGGGTTACAGCTTATTTATTTCAGGTTAAAGGTTTGGTTAGCTTCTCACTTTTTAATATATCAGGGTTTCTAATCATATACCCATTTTCATTATCCCATGGTGTGAAAACGGGAACAGTCTGCCTGAAAAAAATTTAAGACAGCCATCTACTATGCCTTTTGTATAACTGTGCTATAACAAATAAACCTGCCTTGCTTTTTCTGATCATAACATTGGTACTGATTTATTAATATTATCTAGGCCAGGACGTTAACACGTTAATTTAAGATTAATTAACGCCACAAAAATTAGGCGTAAAATTTTGTACGCATTTTAATTGTAATGGACTTGCACCGCGTAACGTTTCCTTACTGGTTTGAGTTTCAGACGGACCGATTATACTGGCGCTCCAACTCGATTCCGTGACTTTTGTTCAAAAGTACATATTACAAGTACAGACCAACTTTACAGACCAACTTGTGTGCTATTTTGCAGTCATTATTCAATGGCAACCTAAAAATCCATGTGAAATAAATTATTTCCTCACTGTTCTCAGGTCTAATATTTATATGTCAATTAATTGCGATTTAATTAATTTCAAAGCCTCTAATTAATCAAAAATTTTATTATCTTTTAGTGAGTCCCAGCCCTAGTCATTATTAAACAGAGATAATGAGGGCCATAAGTATTTAAGTTTTCATATTATAAGTTTGCCAGGTTCTGTTGTTGAAATCCAGCTGGTTTAACTCACTAGTCATATGAGCTGAAACTGAAGAGAGGCCGAACGATGAGACTATTCCCATCATTATCCTTTAAGGCCTTACCGTAATTTAGCCCTTCAAAAGAGGGCCTAATTATTGACTGCCTCCCATGAAAGTTCTAGAGGTTTTTATTGTCTGTCTGTGTTGATCTGGACCATGAGTCTGTAAGAAGTCATCGATCTACTAAACTAGCGCGTAGCATTAGCTTAGCACCAACTCCTGTTTTATGGTATAGAATCGGCCAAAGAGTCAAAACTTTGAAAAATATCAGTCAGCAATTGATTCTGTGTTGACATCCATCCAACCCACTTTATTTTATAGCCCATTGTATACCAAACATTTTCAAAAAATTTGAAATATAGATAAGGTATTAACAAAATTAACCCTAAAATGTCCAATTACAGCGAGCGCAATATCATTAGCACCAACTACTGTTTAATGTAGAGAATTGACTTTGAAAAATCTGGTATCAAATCAATCGGACATTGCTTCTATGATGAATTAACCAATCCACTTTATTGTAAAGCACAATTTATACATAAACAGTTTCCAAAGTTTCTACTTAGATAAAAATGTCCTAATTATACTATGCAGTAGCATTAGCACCACCCCGGTTTATGTACAGAATTCGATCCACCAACCAGCCTAAGAGTCAGACTTTGAAAAATGCTGGTATTGAATCAATCGGGCATTTCTTCCGTTGTTGAACTTATCCAATCCACTTTAGTTTTATAGCACTTTTATACATAAACCAGTTTATTTTTCAAAAGTGCAGCACATACTGGTAGATATAGCACTTTTAGAAAATTCACTCACGTCTACAAAGCAACTATACAACACTATAAGTGGAGCTATGAATGAAAATATATGTCCTTAAAAAAATATCAAAGGTTTTTTTTTTTTATGTCCATAAATGGAACGATTAAAATAGAAGAAAATACATGGTACACTGCTAATAATATGAAAAATTATCATAAATTGCTCAAATTTGGTAAAAAAAATGTAGATTTGACCACAATTTTTTTGACCAAGACCCAGACAGAATTACTCAAATTAGGAATAAAAACCACTCGTTTCAGGCATTTTGACCTAAAATGTTATCATTGTTTGCTATATTAATGAGAATATCCATTATTAACTTTGTTCGTAATGACATTTAAGGATAAATAACTGTACAAATGTTGTGGATTTGCTGTTTTGCCACCATCGCCTGGCTAATGCTTGGTAATACAACACCGACTCTCGTCGCTGTATCTCCACCATCGTCACATTGTTTCTTTTCTTTGCATTTGTGTGCGATTCGAGAGTTTCGTCCCGCCTCCAAAACAGCCCTGACCACTGACCGAGAGGCCATATCAGCAGCAATAGACATGCCATCTGTCCCCTTAGGCTGCGGATCAATACACACTAGAGAGCCGGTGCAGCTGTCTCCTCATCGACTGGTCTAATGGATCTGGTTTAGGGGCCACAGAGGACTCATGGTACCGACAGCAGGACCACCTGAGTCTGTGCCTCACACCTCTTTGTTTCAACGCTTTTAATTAAGAACGGGCCGCAAGAATTCCCCTACAGCTAGCTATTGGCAGCACTGGCAACCAGAACTGATTTGTCCAATCCAGGTTTAGACCAGGAAATTCTTTGTTTGGCCAACACATTGAGATTTAATTTATCACAGTGTGCATGGGCCTTGAATGCATGGCTATGGTGGTCTACTAACTCATAAGGGTTTGCTTAAGTCAGTGTATGGTGATTTTTAAAGCAGGTAAGATGGAGTCATTCCAGCTGAATGGCGTCTGGTGACTTTACACAGATCTTATCCTGGGTCTCGCTGCAATCAGCTGGTGATTTTCAGAGCACATAGGCCACATGCATGCATCTCACCCACCACTCTGTCCTCTCCTCCCCACCCGGCCGCCACGCCTCCTCCTCTCCACCTGCTTTCAATGCAATGCCGTCCGGGGCAGCGTATGTGGAGCAGAACTGTGCGAAAGGAGGATGGGTCATTATACTGCCCGCGCAGCCGGCAATAGAGGAGATAGAGAGATAGAGTGAGAGAGGAGAGCTATGGAGATCTATCTACCTGGTCTGCCCCCATTCACAGTGTTGCCTAATGTGTCCAACCCCAATAATCAATGAGCAAAGAGGGACCTGAAATTGTATAGCAGGCTGACAGAAGAGCCTTTTGCCCAGAGGATCTCTCTGTAACTGGGCCACCGGCTCCTGCAGCATCCAGCCCCCTGCAACCTCTGGAGACAATTCTTTTTTCAATCAGGTTTTAACGGCAACTCTTCTGCCCTAAAATAACTGCACAATGTGAGAGAGAGAGGCACAGTCACTCTATACACTCTGGCAGTTCAGTGGTGTCATGTCAGCAGCCGCCATTGTCCTGAAGGCTCTGATCTGGACGAGGAGGAGGAGGGTAGACTCGACCACAGTCCTACATCCAAATCTGCCCCTCTCGCAGCCCCAGCTCGGCACACAGCAGACACAGACAGACGCCTTCTGTAATTTCATTTACCCCTTGCGTTTCGTAACAGTGCCCACAGTAGTGATGCCAAGCCTGGATAAACCCTGAGCTGTGTCAGTTATTACCAGGCAGTACAGTCCGAGCTACTGATAAAATAAGGTGATGGGGGTGTTGTGATTGATCCCCGAATGCAATCATCCATCTATCTCGCTTGTCGGACTCGTACATCACGGGTTGTACCTATCCACCTCCAGCCTCATGCCCGCACAGGTGAGGCTTGCGCTACAATAGGCCGTGCATAACAACATAGCCACGGCCACATACTCCACATTGACTGATGGTAGCTTCGTGCTCGTCGTGCATGCCTTTGTACCGTCTTGCATGACTGTCGATGTCCGCGGCAGCAGTCCTTGGGTAATGCATCATCCCCAGATTCAAGAGGAAAAACGAGCATTTGTGTTGAAGGCGCTGAGCAGCCTTTAGCATCCCGTCACATCTGCCTCACCTGCATCTCCTCTACGCGGAGCTCCTCCGTTTTATTTCACTTTGAATGATGCATAATCTTTCCTAAGCTTACCGAGCAACGGTGCATTTAGTCAACAATGGCTGGTGGATTAGAATAGCCTCACGCTCGCTTGAATCACATGGTTCATTCATCTCCTCTGCTTTATAACAATAGTGCACTTTGTATATATATGAAATGTGTATCTCTCCCCTCGTATAGTCCAGTGCCCGTGGGTCTGTGTAAAAGCATTCCCTTTGCTTATACAGTTCTTGGCAAACATATGACATCACCATAACCACAAGCACATCTGAACCGAGCGTATATAAACATACAACGACTGCGCACTGTTGCTGTGCAGGATAGATCCAGCCGAAACGGAAGCAAGCCAAGGAAGGAACGGGGGGTGACTTACCCAGTTCAAGACTGTCTCCACGATGTCTCTGTTGCTACCTCTCCGACCACAATGAGACCCACCAGAACCGCGTAATTTCTCTGGTATCCGTATGGGCACGGAGGGATTCATCACCCACCCGGGGTGAACCGTTAGACCCGCCGAAGACAACATCCTTTCCCCCGTGATGGAGGATGTGGAGGAGAGGTGGTGATGCACTGCTGCTGCGCTGCTGCTGGCTGCTTCACGGAAGACCCGAGAACGTAGGAAAGGGAGAGGTAGGCTGGTCTGGGGCTCTCGCTCGACTCGCCCGGTCCTGGAAACAGGGAACGAGCGCCTATGGCCTCTCACACCTCGCTTTACGCCAATCGCCCGAAATAAAAAAGGGGGGGGGGGGGGGGGGGGGGGGGTGTGTGGTATTGGGGGGGGGGGGGGGGATTATCTATATATATTATTATATATTGGTTTGTTTTGTTTTAGTGGGGTGGGGGGGGGGGGGGGGGGGTTTTTTGATGGAAGTGGGGTTATGAATGAATAGTTGTGTTGTGAGAGTTGTTGTTGTGAGAATTTAGGGTTTGAGGAAAGTGAAAAAAGGTGTTGAGGGTGGGGTGGATGTTTTGGAGTTAATGTTGGATTGTGATGTGGATGGGGAGGAGGGAAGGGAAAGGGGGATGGGGAAGAGGAGTGAGAGAGGGGGTGAGAAAGGGGAGAGAAAGGTGGGAGAGAAGAGGGGGAGAGAGAGGGGATCGCGCCGGTATCGCGGGGTGGCTGTCGGTGCGGTGGAGGTGACGTCGAGGTAAGAGCGCCATGTGGACGCCCCCTAGCGGCGGTGAGGCGGTATGACCACGCATGCGCACAGCGTGGCTCGTCTGGATAGGCATAGCATCAGCATGGGAGACCGAAATGGTGCAAGGCAGTCTGTGAGGACACGGTGCTTCTGTGAGGGAGGTGTGACTTCATCTGTGAATCACACAGGCACAATTCCCTCATCCACTAGGCAAAAAGTGTTTAATATGCAAAGCCTCTTCAACTTTTTTTAAAACGGTTTTATTTCTTATTTATTTTTGACACTATTCACTTCATTTAATAGTATAGTAACCCGTTGTGCGCAGAAATGATTCTGTAATTTGGCCCTGAAACATTGATAACAATAATTTAACTCCGAAAAAAAGTAGCCTAAATGTTAATAAAGTGTAAAGAAAGTAATAAAGTGTCCTGAGTAGAGTTTGAGAAGAAGGAGCTAGTAGGAAACAGGGGTAATGTAGGGAGAAGTATCTGTTTTCTTCAAAGACTATGCTACAAAGATAAGAAATGATTTTTTTTGAAGAAGAAGACATAGATTGTAAGGAATTTATATGTGTTTAATGTATGTACCTTCTGGCTTGGACCTCATTCTGACCTTAATAGGTCACAAATTGGCCTTGATTGCATCTTCAAACTCTCCATCCATCTTTTCTTCTTAATATGTTTCATTCATTTAGATAATTCACAGAAACACAAACACAAAATAACAATAAAAAAAAAACATAAATATAAATAACCATGTATTAATTGCTCCAAAACATGGGAGTCGCTATAGCATGGGTCAATAATCAAATACTCTTCTGGCTCCTGGAAAGCATGTTGAGCTTCTTCCACCTCTGCAGAAAATATTGTTTGGCTGAAATGCTGACTCTGGATATGCTGACATGCTAACAAGCTTCTTTCCACAAGCTGGTATCAGTCTGAACAAAGCACTCTAAAAATCTTGCATCTCTTTGTCTCTTTGGTGTCTCTCTTGTATCTATGGTCCTCCTCTTTGGACTCTCTCTGGTCCTCTCTGGCCACTCGTCTGGTCTCTTTGCTCTCTCTAGTCTCTCTCTAGTCTCTCCGGGTGTCTCTCTGGCTCGTTGGTCTCTCTCTGGGCGCTCTTTTCGCTCTGGTTTCTGTCTGGTCTCTCTCTTGTCTCTCTGGTCTTTCTCTGGTCCTCTCGCTTGTCTCCTCTGGTCTCTCTCTGATCCTCTCTGGTCGCTCTCATGTCTCTCTGGATCTCTCCCCTTGTCCTTTAATCTCTCTGGTCTCTCTCTATTCGCTCTGTTCTCTCTCTGCTGGACCTCTCTAGTCTCTCCTAGTCTCTCTGGTCTCTCTCTGATTCTCTCTTTTCTCCTGGTCTCTCTCTGGTCTCTCTCTTGTCTCTCTGTTCTCTATGGTCCTCTCTCTTGTCTCTCTGTCTCTCTCTGATCTCTCTGTCTCTCTCTTGTCTCTCTCTGATCTCTCTGGTCTCTCTCGTGTCTCTCTCTGAGCTCGCGGTCTCTCTCTTGTCTCTCTCTGATCACTCTGTCTCTCTCTTGTCTCTCTGGTCTCTGGTCTCTCCCTGGTCTCTTTAACGCTCTCTGGACTCTCTCCTCTGCCTCGTCTGGTCTCTCTCGCTGTGTCTCTCTCTAGTCTCTCTGTCACTCTCTCTATTCTTTATCATTCTTGCTCTTGCTAGGAAGTGCTTGGATTTCACAGTGGCAATAGCCATCGTGTACTTTTTAGCTTTTCATATGTGTCTGGTGCTACTGGGGACTTTTGCATATTTATTCCAATGCGTTTTTTACCTGCAAATGGCAAACATCTGTATCTGATCTGCTCCGTGGCCTCTGATAATCCTGACATTGACATTGTAGCTGTAGCCTGGACACACATCCCCGGTGCAGAGTTCGACTTTGACAACAGCTAATTGAGTTTTGTTTGGGACAGAGTCGAGGGATGAGTTTCAGCCGCTCAGACTCAGGCATTCAGACACAATCTGTTTATAAATTCAGACAAAGACCATCCCTCTGTCCCACATCTCTGGAACGTCTCAAAGCCAAAAATTAAAAGTGCTGTCCCTGGGATGTAATCTGAGTCTGAGAAATAAACTCCAGATTCAATAGCTATCTGATCCCGGAACTTTTTACTATAGCTATTTATTTTATTAGATTATATTTGGGAGTATTATTAATAAAATATATAATATTGATACTATTATTATTATATATATATAATGATATTATATTATGTATTATCATTGTAGTATGTTATATGGTAGATGCTTATTTATAATTTTTATTATTATACTATTTATTGATCATTTATCTTTTATGATATTAGAGTTTCATATTATATTTAACTAGTTGGGTATGTAATGATTATTTGTTATTATACTATGTCCACTATATTATATTATGACTTATTTATTATTAATGTTAATATATTTATATTATTTTAGTGTATGATATTTTATTGTATAATATTCAATATGAGTTTGATGATATGTATTTATATTACTATTATTGTTTATGTTCTTTATATATTGTATTGCTATAATTATATATACTTTACTATTATTATAATTATTTTCTTCATTCTATTATATTACTAATGTATTTATATATATTTAATTTTATTTATTTATATGTCTATAATACTATTTACTATTATTATTATTATATATATATACCATTTATATTAGTAATATTATTTATATATTTTATGCGAAGATATTTCTATACTTTTATATATTAAATATTATTTAATTTTATATATTATTTAATGGGCCTATTTATTGCTATGATATGTTGAAACTATTTATCTGATGGTTCAATATTAGTGTATCTTGATTTTATATATTGATATCTATATTTATTCTACATAAATATATGTATTTGTTTATATTATAATGCTATATAATTATTTATCTTATTATATATATTATTATTTATTATTGGATAAATTCTAATTTATATTTATATTATGTTGTGTATTTTAATATGTTATTATATTATTATTTTATTATATATTATATATTTGATTATGTATATTGAGAATGGTATTTATTTATATGATTAGCCGTCTATTTTATTTATTTATTTCATCACTATTATTATGTATTAGTTATTACTATACTACATTTATTGAATCTAATTATATTATATTAGTAATTATTTTTTAAATAAATAATTTGATCTTTTTATTAATTATATATTAATATACTTATATTGAAATTAATTTATTATGTAATTGAGATATTAATTATGATATATTATATTTCTTATTGCTTAATATTTGATAATTTTTAACATATTATATTCATTAATACGTTTTTCAATATAATCATTTTTATTTTATGTATGATATTATTATTACATATATATATTAACTTGATCTATACTATATATTTATTGTTTATTATTGATGGGTTATTTGTATATATTAACTATTGCTTAGTTATTTTACATTCTGGTCGTATTTTTTGTATTTTCTATCTTATTTAATTATAACGATATATATTATATTATTTATATCTATAATTCATCTATTTATATTTATTCATTATCACTATATTAATTTGCTACTATTTAACATAATTTTATATATTATTATAATGAATGTATTACTAAATATATATCATACATTATAACTATTGATTATTGATATTATATTTTATATGATACCTATTGATTATTGTATCTTTTATATATAGTATACTATACTAATATAACATATGATTGTATATTACTAATTGTATTACTATATATTGTTATGTTTTAGTACTATTATTCTATCTATAGATTATTACTATAATCTACTAAGACTATATTAATAGTACAGTCTCCACTACTTATTTCAGTACTTTTTAGTTTGGATGAGCTAATTGTAATATCAAAATACCGACAAAAGAATAGAGCCGATTTAGACCATACTGTAGATCCAGAAAATACATCCATGTGGAGCTCTCCAGATTTGTATCTTAGGATCGAACCACAACAACATTGGTTTTATACACTGCAAAAAGTGAAGTAAAACAAAATTAGCTCAAATTTGGCTAAATGGATCTTCAATTTCTTTCGTGGGTTCCAAGCCCACCATAAGACCTACTTCCACGACTACCCCCACTGATGACTGCAGTCGTTGTGCTCCCCTTGGCAAGACACTTAACCCCACTTTGCCTGAACCCCCAATGAAATGATCTCAGCTCCTGTGGACTCACACCAGCAGGAGGATCAGTGAGGGGCTGGTGCTAAGTGGGACTGGTGCCGCTCAGACTGCCACCCCATGACCCAGATTTGGTTTAAGGGAAGAAAAATGGGATGGATGGATGATGTATCTTCATTTGAGATTCTTGTTTGAGTCAGAATTACTCAGATATTTTTTCCTTTTTGCAGTTTGCTGGTGGATTATAAAACCTATAAACTTTGTGCTACTTTACATCAAATCCAAATGGCAAAAAAAGAGATTCTGGGGGCCGTATGGGCTCGCGGGCCTCATTTTTTGAAACCTATCCCAGCAGAGGCCAGTCCTGTGCTCCTCGAGTCCCTGCAGGATGACCAGTCCCCTGGCTGGTCATATGGCCCAAACTAGTCTCTATTACACATTCTAGGTTTGCTTCTATCATTTATGTGATGAAAAGGTTCTACAAGGACAAAGATGACACAAGCCTTCCCATGATAGGAGCGGACTTCCCCCCTTTTAAGACTCCCCCTTTAAGATGCCTGAAAAAAAAATCATAAGATATATATAAAGGGGGGGGGGGGGTTGGGGGTGAAATTTTAAAATATTATATATAGGTAAAACATGGGTCCTCATTTTTTCACATGTTGTCAGCTGCTGTCCGCTACATGTGTAGTAAGACATGTATGAACACTCCCACGGGGGGCAGACTCCTCTCTCTCCTCCGCCTATCCCCCTCTCGTTTCTTATCTTCTCCCCTCTTTCCACACTCTTCTTTCCTCCTAAACCCTCTCCTCTTCTCTCCTCCTTCTCTTCTCTCTCCTCGGCGCGCTTCTATTTTTACCTCTCTTCTCTCTCTTCTCTTCTCTCCCCTCTTCACCTTTCCTCTCTCCTCTCTCTTCTCTCCTCTTTCCTTCCTCTTCTCTCC